GAGAGAGAGAGACAGAGAGAGAGAGACAGAGAGAGAGAGAGAGAGGGGGAGAGAGAGCGAGAGCGAGAGCATACCGTGTGCTACTGAATTACTGAATTAACTATTTTAGCATCTATTTTATACAACACAGAGCCATTCTGTATAACATTATCTAACTGATGTTCTGAATGTCTTATCAACCTGTAGGTCATAAGTCCAGAAAACTCAATTAAAACACCAGGGGCCAATGCTATGGGAAAACATGAAAACACAGAGGAACCATAGATGCCACTGAGAATTAGCTTCATGGGGGTGGGGGTGGGGAGAGAATATCAAATGTTCATGACCTTTTGGGCAAATAACTAAAAATAAGACAAAATTTTCAACTTGAAATTTCTTGACCAAGCTGAGTGCACCTAACGTTCAACATTCATCTATCTCTTCTCCCTTTCCTTTCAGAGTTAGTACAAATTTGAGAGGAAAAAAAGAATTCAGAAAAGAATCTTTTAAAATACTTAACTGTTGAGCTGGGCAGTGGTGGTGCACGCCTTTAATCCCAGCACTTGGGAGGCAGAGACAGGTGAATTTCTGAGTTCGAGGCCAGCCTGGTCTACAGAGTGAGTTCCAGGACAGCCAGGGCTACACACAGAAACCCTGTCTCGAAAAAAATAAAAACAAAAAGCAAAACAAAAAAATACGTAACTGTTGAGAGGACTAAATAAAATTTGGCCTAGTACACAGCACACTCTCAACAAAGACTGTTACTGTTATCATTCTTTTCAATCAAAATTGCATGACATTTTGAAATTTCAAATCAGTTACTGTCATTTGTGGTTTTGCTATGTAATCAATACCGAGAAGATTGAACAATACAACTTTTCATCCAGTGCAATTAATACAAAACATGTGATCAAAAAAGGCCTACATATTGTTTTGTTTTTGTTTTGAGACAGGGTCTTACCATGTGGCCCTTGTTGGTTCAGAACTTGCTACATAGACTAGAAAGGTCTATGAGAGTCTCCTGTCTCTGCCTTCCGAGTGCGGGGACCAAAGATATGCACCACCATGCCCAGCCTATAAACTGGGATTTTTAAGTCAGTTTAAAGCCAGTATAGTGGCACACAACTGTTTCCACCATTCCATGGCAAGAGGATGGTGAGTTTGAGGCTACTGTCTCAAACGCAAGTCAACTTACACTGGAGTATTGACACCTCAGTACATCTTACCCTGATGAAGGGTAGATACATACCAAATCTTTACCTAGTGTCTTCCCTCAGAAATAGAATGTGAGCCACAAATATAATTTTAAAATTTCTGGCAAGGGCTAGAGAGATGGCTGACCAGTTCAGTGTGAATACTGTTCTTACAGAAGAGCCAAATTCAGTTCCCAGCACCCATGTTGGCGCTCTACCCTGGCCATACTCCACAGGTACTTGCATATAGCCAAACATACACATAATTTAAAAAATAATAAAAAGAGCCAGCCAATGGTGGTGCACACCTTTAATCTTAAGAGGAGGCAGAGGGAGGTGTATCTCTGAGTTCCAGGACAGTCTGGTCTACAGAGTGAGTTCCAGGACAGCCAGGGCTATACAGAAAAGCTCTGTCTTAAAAATCAAGAACTAAAAAACCAAAATGTTTCTGATAGTATAATAAAAGGACAAAATTGGGGTTGGAGAGATGGTTCAGCAGTTAGAAGCACTACTAGCTGTTCTTCTAGAAGACTCATGTTCACACCTTTGATCCCTCCACTCGGGAGGCAGAGACAGGAGGACCCACAAGGCAGCTTACAACTGATGATAACTCCAGTTCTAGGGGATCTTACACATATGCAGGCAAAACACTAATACACATAAAATAGCAAAGTAAATTAAAAGAATAATTCTAAAAAGGCAAATATTTAACTTTAATATGTAGTTTACTTAATCCAATATATATAAATCATCATTTAAATATGCTAATAATATAAAAATAAGATAGCTTAAACTTTTTTTACACTTAGAATCTAGTGTGCATTTCACACTTACAACACATTCATTCCAAAGAGCCCCATTTCACTTGTGCCAGCGTGTCTGCAACAAAGTACTGACCTATTAACCTAGACTTTTTCAGAAAGAGCTTGGCAATGTCTTTAGCAAAGAATTTGACTTCTCAGCTCAGTTTCTGACTATCTAGATAAGAATGCTTACAGGCTTGACTTCTTCCGGATTACATCTGAGCAGAGGCAAGTGGGAGAACAATTGCTTGCTACGACAGACAAGACAAATTCTAGAACTGTTTTCCTTTCAGCTTCTTCAAATCTCAGGCAGATCTTTTCCAAATGGAGGGCCAGCACAAATCATTCTCCAGGTTGGGAGTGGACCAAGGCCTATTGTAATCTCTACCAGGTCCTCAGCACCTATCTCTTCATCTCACCGAAAACTTATTGTCTGTTGGTAGAGCAAGGGCTTAGCATGAGCAAGGCCCTGGCTCCCCATGCTCAGCACCAATAAATACATACAAATAAGTGCAAGCACTACAGTTCCTTTCATTTGCAGCAGACTCTATACTGGGAGATCCTAAAGACATCCAAATCTATACAAAATCCCAGTTCAAGAAAGAAAAAAAAAATTAAGCAACAACGGTTATGTGACTTCAACTATTAAGGCAGACTAGCTTGTTTTCTCAAGGAATTTAATGCTCCCATCAATACGACAAGACTTCAAGGAACTAACCCCTTTTGTGACTTCCCCCAAAGTAATGCGATTTTGTTAAAACTTTAACAGAGCAAGGAAGTTCAGACTGCTTGGCTGTTCGATGTACAAATACTTATTAACCTAGCTGTAAGGACTGGGAAATGCTGGGCTGTCTCAAAAATCTAAGGTTTTAAAAGTGAGTTCATTGTAAAGAAAGCACAGACATTTCTATCTTTAAAATTACAAAGTGGAAGAAAGGAGTCATGTGACTCGTTTACTTTTTCTCATCTGTGAAATGGGTTTCTGGTTGCTGCTAGATCCTTTTTTCCTTCTTTTAATTCTCTGACAATTTCAGAGAGATACACAGTATTGGTCATTTCCGCATGTGTGTGTGCGCACGCGTCCCCTCCTTTCCCATCTTCACAGCAAGTTTTCACCTCCAGTTTTCCTGTCAACTGTTTTGCTTTGTTCCTTTTTCGAAATTTTTCTTGTTTTTCCCACAATGAATTTAAGTTAGCTCCATACAAGCTCAACGGCTGCGAGTGGAACTCAAGGACAAAACACATCTAGTCAGTATGTGTGTGGTGCTAGATTAGACCCCCTTCCCCACCAGACAATAATAATCAATAAGTGGAGCTTATGAAGAATAAGTTCAATTCGAGTGACAACTTCACACAACTCAATTTTAAATCAAATCATTCTTCTGATGACAAGTCCACTATAGCCACCAGTATCAGCATCTAAATAGTAAGGGTACTTCCGCATCTGCATTTACTAATGTTCAAACTATCTTAAAATTTCATTAATCCTTATCAAGGCCGTTAAAGCCCTAAAACAGCAAAAGGTCACGACTTCACCTCCCATTTTCTAATTCTGCAAAATAAACAGATTCCAGTTTTTAATCCCACCTCTCCCTAGCTTTCCCTAGAAATAAACGGTAAATTCGAAGCCAGGGGAAGGCTAGTAGACCTGGAATGTGGTCTAGCTGTCTCAAGGAACCGAGATTATTCTAGGTACCCGTAAGCTTCTTCATCGGAGACACAGTCGTTGGACAAGATAGTGAGACCACAGGTCAGATGCAGGTTAGAGGCAATCTAGAGAAATCAGGCCCAGCAAGGTATGGCCTCTGAACCCCGGAGACAAACAAGTCAAGGAGGAATTCCAATCAGAAGTGGTAAGAGCCCATAGGAGGCAAAGTACAAGTGAACAGGGCAGGGAGATTCCAAGGAGGGGTGGGGCATTCGAAAAGTGAGAATGATGTGGAAATGCTTTACAGAACTTGATTCCAGGCAGGAATCCAGTAACCTTCCCAAAGACTGAGAGCCACCTCCCCAGCTAAGCAGAGAGAGGCCGGAGGGGCGCGAGACCCACTCCAAGGCCAGGTCTGTCCTTCGGCTCCCTCCGCTCCCTCCCACCGACCACGGGGAGGCTCCGCCCCGCTCCAGGAGGCCGCGGGCGCTGGATCCGCGAGCACGCGCGATCGCTGAGCTCGCAGGCCGGGCGGGCCGGGAAGTCCGCGCCGGGCTGATTGGTTAGGTCGCGGGCCGCCGCTAGGCCTACGGGCTGCCCAGCGCACCCTCCGCGGGGTCCGGACATGGCTCCCGCGCGGCCCCCGCTCGGTACGCCGCGAGCGTTACCTGGTCAGGCGACAGCGGGGTGGGAGCCCCGGGGCTGCGAGCTCGGCCTCCTCACCTGGCGGAAGTACAGCGGCTGCCCTCACCTGGACGGAAGTGTGGCGGCCTCCTCACCTGGGCGGCTCTCCACCTCGCCGGAGGCTGGGCGGGGCGGGGCGGGGCGAGCCGGGCTCTGGCCCCTGGGCGTCTGCGCGCTTGTTAAAGTTCCGGGGGTGAGTGGGGCTACCAGTCCTGGAAACTAGGCCAGCAGCCTTGAGGGCAGGTGCGGCCGCCGACTCAAAACCGAGACCCCCAAACAAACCACCAGCGCTGACCCAAAACCGAGACCCCAAACAAACGACAAGTCCACTTAGCCCCTAGCCCGAGGCCCCTCTGTTCCAGCCTTCTTGTGTCCCTTATGTTTTCCAGATGTGCTGACTCAATGTAAAATAGTGTGTCAGTCTGTGTCCCCATCATCCTAAGTGTAATTATGAGTGTCTTCTTTTTTTCTTATTTAGAGTTTTGATGATAAGCATTTACATTATCTAATATAGTCTGCTCAAGGCTAAAGAGAATCAATCATCAGATAGCTTACTGAATAAATGCACTATTAAGGACTGTGATTGACAGAGATGAGAGGTAAAATGGTATCCTCAAAAAAGTGAATACGTATAAGCAACAGCAATATGCGGACATTTGCTGGTTATGCGTTTGATACTTTATGGCTGGGTGATAATTTCAGGGAAATAACATTTGTTAGGCCTTGTAAGAAGGTATGTAATTTTTCCCCTAATGGAAGGAATAAAATGAAGATGTCCGTTTTCACTTGTCCTGTTCAGCATACTATTGGAAACTTAAGCTGAAGCAAACAATGGGTCGTGTTGGATGGTGGTGCACACCTCTAATCTCTACACTCTAGAGTTCCAAGTAGTATGATTCCCTGTCTCAAAAAACACTAAAGAAAAAAAAAAATAAAGGGCACACTAATAGAAAAGAAGCAAGTAAATATCGTTTGTGGATGTCATCATTTTAAAGGTAGAAAATCAAAGATGACTGGGGACGATGACTCAGTGGATGAAGGTAGGTACTGCCCAAGCCCGATGACCTGTATTCAAGTTCTATCCCAGGAAGCCATATAGTGATCAAACCAACTGCAGCAAGTTGTTCTTTGAGCTCCATATTGCCCCCAGTCCTCCATGCCCTCTCACACATACAAATGTAAAAATAAAAACACAAAAAATAAAGCACACATACACACACATACACACACACACACACCCACACACCAGAATTACTGTGAGTTCAAAATCAGTCTAAGGTACATAGTGAATTCAGGCCAGCCTGGACTACTGAAATACATATCAGGACTTAACTTGTCTCAAAAATACAAAAGATGTGAATAAAATTTTTAGATAATCCCTCCTTGAGACTCTTCCCAGGTGATTCTAGATTGTGTCAAATTGACACCTAAAACTAACCAAGATGCTTTGGACTTAATTTAATGGTGAAAATATTCACTGCCATGTTCGTAAAGAACACAGACACAAATGTTCACAGATTGGGAGATTTAATATTGATAAGTTGTTGATACACTCGCCCCAAACATTTGATAATATTTATACCAAAATACAATGAAACTATTTATAGTAAGAGAAAAAAAGTCCTATAATTTCTCTGGAATCACAAGAGACCCAGAGTGGCCAAAGCAATTCTCAGCAAAAGAAATAAAGCTGGAAGAACCCTAACACCTGGCTCTAATGTATACTATAAAGCTCTAGCATCTGAAGCCTGGTAATACCAACACACAAACCAAAGAATTGCATCCATAGCCAATTGGCCTTCAACAAAGGTGTCAAAAACAAAATTTGGAGAGAGGGCAGTCTCTTCAATAAATGGTGTGAAAACAATCAACACACCCCTATCTGTTACCATATGCAAAAATCAACCCAAAGCTGATCAAAGACCTAAGTGAAAGATGTGCCACTTTAAGACATTTCTGTAAATGATGGTGTTTTTGAAGGGACTGAGGTAGCAGAACAAACTCCATTTTGTTCTTAAGACTCCATTCTAAGTCAACTTGCCCTTAGAATGGCATGGCCAATGAAGAGACAAAGAGCAGTAGGACAGATTCCATCTTGTCCTCTAAACTCTGGGTTCAACTGCTGTCCTTGGAGAAAGCTACTGTCCTTGGAGAGATATGGTCCCCACCCTTGCTGTCTGAGAAAAAAAATCATGAGATGTCCGTGACAGTAACAAAATAGACACAGCAGCTGCAGCTAGCTGGTAACCACAGAGTGGGCTAAGAAAACATAAGTCTTTCCCAGGTCAAGATGTTCCTTTTTAGATGTGTGTTCTCTCCTCGTGGTCTGAGCAAACGCTATCAGTCTGAAGATTAAAATTCCTTTACCCATTAACCCAATCATGTAACACCAAGGCTCGAAAGCCCCAGCTTGCAAACGTTTCCTATATAAAACCTAGACCCTGGACCTGAGTGTCACTTTCTTAACCTGTTACACAGGGAGGGTTTGTGACCCAAGCTTGAACTTATATAAAAACTCATGTACTTGCATCAGAGTTGTGGTTCCTGGTGGTCTCTTTGGGTTTTTTTTTTCAATCTGGGCACAACATTTTTAATAATTTTTCTTATGTAAATTTTTTCTTTTTCTTTTTGTTATTTTTTTTTCAGAGCTGATTGACCAAACCCAGGGCCTTGTGCTTGCTAGGCAAGGGCTCTAACACTGAACTAAATCCTCAGTTCCTTTATTTTTTTCTTTTTGCCTGCATGTATGTCTGTGGAACACATCTGTGCCCAATACCCAAGAAGGCACCAGAAGAGAGCATCAGATCCCCTGGGACTGGAGTTACCAAGTGTTTTGAGACATAGTTAGGGTGCTGGAAATCAAACCCAGGTTCTGTGGAAGAGCAGCCAGTGATGCTTCCTCCTCTTAGATTGCTATCTTATCTCAAGTTGACGTAAAAACGTAAAAACTAGCCAGCACAATGGGTTTACGCCAGTTCACTGATCCTTGAAAACTTTTAGCAGAGTTTTAAATATGTCAGAGCCTTTTTTCAAAGGAGAAATTTGCCCGGAAACTGTACAAAAGTGGATTGAGGACCTTGGAGAAGTAGCCTATGATAAAACAAAAAAAGTTGCTGTAGCAAGGGAGATAGGAAATAAGGAAAATTGGAAATAGGGTGAAAGTGCATAATGATTGCCAGCTAGGCAGTGGTGACCCAAGCCTTTGAACCCAGCACTCAGGAGGCAGAGGCAGGGCGATCTATGTGAGTTCAATCTCACTCTGATCTACAGAGACCTAGAACAGCCAGGACTACACAGAGAAACCATGACTCAAAAAAACTAAAACAAAAAGGGGAAGAAGAAGAAGAAGAAGAAGAAGAAGAAGAAGAAGAA